CAGTCGATAGTTGTGTGTCATAGCTGCACATCCTTCTAGTTGCTGTATGTGGGACGCGGCCTCAGCATGGCCGGAGAAGCAGCGCGTCGGTGCGAGCCCGGGATCCGAACCCGGGTCGCCAGCAGTGGAGCGCGCTCACTTAACCACCAAGCCACGGGGCCGGCCCGCCTGTCTGTTCTTTAAGTCTGTGTCCCAATTTCATTCATTAACAAGCTCTGTTCCCTTCCACTCGGAATCCTGGAGTGGAGTTAGGATGGGGAGACGCCGGGTGTGCTCTGACCCCTGCTCCCTCTGCTGTGGTGCTGGGGTTGGGGGAGAGAAGGACCAGCTGGCCTCTCCCCAGCCAGCTCTCTGTCCTCTCCTTGGTTTGCTGTAGCGACTTTCCCTGCATGGTGTCTGGGGCTCCATCTCTGCTAGCTCTCTCAGCAATCGACAGCCCCCTGTGAGGGCGGGCTAATCTCCCAGTGGCCCTCAGCTGGCATCTCAGGCAGAGTTCCCTGATGGCCACGCCTCTTTGCCCCCTGCTGTAGCAATCCTTGGAAAGCCCCAGTCCCCAGTTCCTCTACCCTCTCCAACATTGGACTCTGCGTCCATAGGCAGGAGCCATCTTCTTTATGTCTCTTGAACTTGTGGGGGGCCCTTGTCCCTCCCTTCCTGGCCATCTCATCACAGCCTCTGTCCCAGACGCTGTGTCACATTTGGTAGCACGAGGGAGGAGAGCCAGGTAATGACCTCCCTTCATCCCGGGGAAGTTAGAGGAGACAATAGGCACCCTTAAAACACTACTCCCTCAGTGCCACAGCTCAGTAATTTCCAGTCTTCCTTTTATACTGATCGGGGAATGTTTTTTGGGGGGATGGGGAGAGTACATGTCTGTAATGGCCCTGTCAGCTTGGGAGGTCGCTGGCCACACTGCTGAGAGTTTTCTCAACCGAGAATGTGAGGTACTTGGCACCTTTAGTTCTCGGATGGAGCCATAAGTCCCCAATTCTGGGAATTCAGGAAGAATTCTACTCATGGCTTCAGATGTCTGCAATAGAATCTTTTAATTTGTTCTTCATCCTAGTTATCGATTATATTTAAACAAACTCTCCTATTTTCCTGTTTGGGAAGTGAGTGGTCTTATCTTGCCCCAGCATCTGAATGATCCAAATCCCGTAGCTTATGTGGCCTGGAGATTAAGTTCAGCATGACCTTCCAACAGACATTCACAAATGCAACTAGAATTAAGAGTACAGTGTGCCGGACTGGGTTGAGTTACATAAGACATATAAGGAAAGGATTCCTTCCTTTGAACTTACACAAGAGCAGCACAGAAAGCATGTAAGTGCTAACATATTTGATAGAGGCTCCGAGCAGGGGGAGATGAGACCATTATGCATGGGCAAGGCTTCAACAAGGAGTGATAGCACTCAGTCTGGGCCTAATAGGGTGAGCAGAATTTGACTAGGAGGACGTGGACGGAAGAGACTAGGTCTGCCGAGTCCCCCCACCTTTCCATCTCTTCTTTTGTAGGTGCGAACGATAAACATGTACAGTGAAATTGACCAAACACCCTACAAACAGGAGATTAATGCCAAGAACCTGATCCAGTGTTGGAAGGAATGTATGGCCAAGTCTTCCTACTCCCTGAGGAAAGCGGCCGTGGAAAAGTTCAACTCAGAGAATTACTGGAAGAAGAAAGGGCTGGCCATCATCCCCCTGAAGTATCCTATTGGTCTTGGTGCAGTTGCTTTTGCTCAGGTCAGTTCTCCATATGGACACATCAACAGGCGTTGAGGAATTTTCCATTACTGTGGAAAGCCATATGGTTGCAATGCCTGATTGTCACCCTCACCAAATTTGTGCTCAATCGAACTAGCCTTTCTCCAGAGGAGACGAGAGCTCCTTTGCCTTCGTCCCCAGGGTTGGTGACAAGCATTCTTGGGGGAAATCGGGAGACCTGGTGTCTACTCCTGGCCCTGGCATTAAGCAGCTGAGTCAACTCGCTCTGGGCCCCACATTGCTCGAGTGTGAAGTGAGAAGGTGGGAGCGATGGCCACCAAGACTCCTCCTGCAGCCGCTCTGTGATTCTGTGTCTCTGGACCCAGAAATAGAAACAGGAAGCCGCCAGGCATTTGGTGCCCCTCCCCTTTTTGGTGGGTTGTGAACTAAATCCAGAAAAGTAAATCATTTAAATACTTTTTTAAGCACGATATTTAGGAGTTTGTTCATCTGACAGTTGTTCAGCGTGTGAAAGGAAGACTGGAAATCCGTTCTTGTTTAATTTCTGTAATTGATTAAATAAATTCCCTGCTTGCTTGCTAAATCCCACTTTGCTGTTTCCACCTCTTCATTCTTTTTTTCTTTTCCTGAGGAAGATTAGCCCTGAGCTAACATCTGTGTCAATCTTCTTCTATTTTATATGTGGGTCACCACCAGATCGTGGCTGAGAAGTGGTGTAGGTCTGTGCCCGGGATCCAAACCCGCCAACCCTGGGCCACTGAAATGGAATGTGCTGGACTTAACTACTACACCACGGTGCCGGCCCCACCACCTCTTCATTCCTGAATGAAACGTACCCCAAACAGCTGGTGCTCTGCTCTGTTCTTGCTCTTTGTGCAGCAGTGACGTGGGACCCTTAGTATCTACGTTCTTACACATATGTATGTGTGTGTATATGTCTGTGTCCATAAGATGGCAGAGCCTCAAAACTGTTGTCACTCCTCTTTGCAGAATTCACACCTTTGGCTGAGCCATGAGGAAGGTATGCTGAGAGAGAGAATGGGGACCGATGGGGTGGGGCTGTGAGGAGCCCTCGGGTGCAAGCTGGGTGCTGAGGGAGCAGAGGAGGCCAGGAAAGGCGGGCGGGAGGGTCCTCTCCCCTCTCCCATAGCCGTCCTGGTTCAGCGTTGGCGGCATCGCTGGAATGTCTTCGTGCAGCTTGACTGCAGGCAGGTGATGGCTCAGAGGCGCAGTGTAACAACACACGTGCTGATCCTGCTGCAGCCTCCCCGCTCCTTGCCTGGTGACAATGGTAAAACAGCACAGAGCCATGTCGTCACCTGCAGTTTCCCCAGACGAGGGCGGCCGTCAAGAGGCTGTGGTTGAGGAATAAAAGCGAAAACAGGTTATTAAACGGGAAAGGAAAGGGGGAAGCTTCCACCGGAAAAGGGTTTCTGAGCAGTGACTCTTGGTACGCAATTTGGGTAAACTGATGAGCTGGCAGCTAGCAGAGGGGTCGGGCTGGGCCATCTGTCCTTGAGCACACTGGCCGGGATCTTCGGGGAAACACTCCCCTCTGATTATGGGTCTCCTGGCAATCCTGGGCCTTAGACTGCGGTAGACACGGCAGGCCGTCTCTGTTTAACGGCTGCCATCACTTGCTGTCTGGCCTCTACAGTAGACCGAGTCTGTCCCATTTCCCTCATCAGAAATTTCTCAAAAGTAGATAAAAAATAACAGTAATTACTGTGCCTCTACTATGTTTTAAGTGCTTTTAGATTTTATCTCATCGACCCTCAGGGCAGCCTGTAAGATTTGGATCCTTAGTGTAGAGGTGAGAACACTGAGGCTCGGAGCTTAGATAACTTGCCCAAAGTCCCACGTCTGGTGGGCGACGGGGCCGGGGCTAGAACTCGGGTCTGAGAGGCTCCAGCAGCGGTTCTTCCTCAGCTACGTGGAGCTGCCTCCCCACGGCGCTTGTAGGCGGGAACGGAGGTGGATTCCGCTCAGCTGGGAGGAAACTAGACAGTAGCCGGCAGTACAAATTCATTCTCAGAGGTGCAGAGGAGCTCCCCCGACACCCCACCGCCCCTCCCATCCTTCCCCAGAAACCAGCTTCCTCGCCTACAACATGTGCTTAGGGCCCAATCCAGGAGTTTGGGATCAGTCAAGCTGCTTCCTGGAAGCCATGTGCTGAAAGACTCTATTCTGAACCAAACCGAGTAGAGCAGGGACTAGAAACGATCCTGGAGCACCTTCTGTGTGTGAGGCCGTGGCCTGGGTGGTTTGTCATCTCCCAGTTCATGTAGCCTCCGTCTCATCTCTGTTGGGCAGGTGTGATTCTATGTCATAGGAGGGGAAACGGAGGCCCCTTGAGGTTCGCTCTCTTGCCCGAGGACATCCGGCTAGTGAGTGACGGCACAAGGATTCAACTTCAGGACTGTGCTCCACAGCTGAGGGGTCAGACATCCCTCACTTGCGCCATGTGTCCTTCTAGACCGTGAGCCCGGAAGGACACACGGTGTCTGATTGGCCCTGTCCTCCCACTGCCTTGTGCCGCACTGGGACAGAGCAGGCACTCCCGTGTTTGAATGGCTGAGGAATTTTGGGAATCTGTGGGACCAAAGCAACCTTCTCTCCAATACGGGCAGTCACTGCTTGAGGATTTAAATTTCACACACTAAGTCCCCGGTTTGTATTGGAGAAGCATCTGTTCCCACGCTCTAGTTGTGCCAGTTCGGTAGATGAAGCTTTGTGGAATTATCTTTTGTGGCGCTAACAACCATCCAGTGCTGCCACTTAACTGAAACAAATTTGACATTTTGAATGGCCCCAGGAGATTGCAGCAGCTCATGGAACAAATTACTCCGCAGTCTCCGTTAGAAATGCTGCCCTGGACACTCAGGCAGAGCGCTGTTGCCAGCAGGGTCACAGAGTGTAGGAAATGCACAGGCCACTGTAATTGTAGCTCAGTCACCAAGAGTTTCACCCTCAAGCAACTTCTGAATTGCTTGCAGAGCCAAGGAAGCCAAATGCAGAGTTTTTGAGTTTAAGAAACAGATGGAATGGCTACGCCATTGCAAATTCATTTATCAACCTTTTATTGAGCACTTACTATGTGTGAGCTACTACGTTGTGTTCCAGCGGAGGCCTTGGGACACGGTCCTTCCTGTCAGGGCTCCTATTCTAGCAGAGTACAATGAAGTGCCATACAGTGGGGCCCAGGAGCAGCCGTCGCAGCTGGCATCACCTGGCATCTGTTGGCAGCCCCAGGGCCGCCGACTCTGGGCTCTCCGTGGAGGATGCCGCTTCTTGTCTTTACTGTGTTGAGGATAAATGGCCAGGAGCACAGAAGGCCTTCCCAGGAGTGACGTGTCCCCAGAGAGTAAAACACGCTCTGCCTCGTCTTCCCAGGCTCTTGGGTGTGATTATCATGGCTGTGATGTCCTCCTCGAGGGTCTAAGATTCTCCCTTGGGCTGTGAATGTCCCTTTGTCTTCAGAGAAAGGGTTCCCTTTGTCCCCATTGTCCCAATACACACCTGATTCACACCTGCCAACCAGATAAGTAATGCCCATTTTCACCATCAGAGGTGTCTTATTTGGAATGGCAGAGGCTTCTGCTTGTCATTCACTGGAGTAATGTGAATCTTTGGATACTGATAAGGAGGCGATCCTCCAAATGTGGCCCACGGCCCACAGGTGGCTGTGAGGTCCATCTGGGGGACAGAGAATGGATCTAGGAAGGCGTCCTTCCTTTCCTGGGGCGTATTTGGTGATTGACATGCAAGTCCATTGACTTTACTTATGACCAGAGTTTACAAGGAATCTAAGGGAGTAATTAAGGCTTACTAAAATTTTAGCCTTGTTAAATGGGAATTAGCGTTACCAGAATTTTCTGAAGAGACTGCCTTTACAAATCCTCGGTGATTGTGCCACTCTGCATAGAAGCGTAGATGTTGAAAAGCCTCGCTGGCAGAGCTCTCAGTGACCCCTGGCTGCCCCAGACCGCATCTGTGAGGTGGCCACTTCCCAGCTGAGCAGCTGCAAAGGTGTGCCTTGCAGGCCCTGCTGAACCCAGTGGCGCCATCAGAAGCATCTTCTCTGTGACCGGATGCTGTTCACGTTGCTCTTGCCCTGGAGACTCACAGTGAAGCAGCGTCCTTGTTTTCCGCAGCCTCCTGGGACGTCTCCACACCCCCCCCAGCTTAGCAGGGGCAGACTTGACAGGAGGCACGTTCTTATTGATTGTAAAGCACGTTTAGCCCGGAGTGTGGCTGTTTCTGATTACAGCAGCGTTTAATTCTGTTAGTTTCGTTCCTTCTGGATCCCCGTGGGGAGCTCTACAGTTAGATAAGATTACTTCCAAGTTCCCCTCCAACTCTAAAGCCCTGTCGTTCTTGGCCAAGATGATTTAGGGGGGCTTAGCTCAGTTTGCAGGAGGACATTAATGTCTATCTGTCCCACCTTATTTGGACAGATCCCTACAGCTAGGGGAATATGTGTTCACATAAACAATTCTCCCTCTCACCAGCCTATCTTCACTTACCTTTGCATTTTAAAACTAACACCCACCCTCCCTGCCCAAAACCCCACACCTGAATTGTTGTCCACCCTGGTCAGAGGGATCCTTGAAGGCGCCAGTGGGCTCAAATGCCTCCTGAGGAAATAGTAGCTTAAGGAGCATCGTCCTGCCCCAGACTCAAAGCCGTCCAGCGACAACCTGGCCTCTTGTGGGGGGATCATGAGGCAGCCCCCGCCCTGATCTGCTCAGCCCTCTCAGGGCGATGGGAGAAGCATCTGTGTATATGTGGGCAGGGAGTGGAAAAAAAGGGATCGTTTCCAGGGAAAGTGTAATTGACAAGCATATGATAATATCCTTCAGAAAGATCATGAAACCGTTGTCATCTTTTTTTGCTTAGGCTGCTGCCCTGGTTCACATTTATCTTGATGGGTCTGCACTGGTGACTCACGGTGGAATCGAGATGGGGCAGGGCGTCCACACTAAGATGATCCAGGTAAGAATGCAAATAATTGGGTTAAATTGGGTGTGTGCTTGTAGACGTGTATGTGAGAGAGAAACTGTGGATGTACACTTTCTGTTCCAAACTAAAAAGGGTAGGAGACTCTCGCCTTGACAGCTTAGGCTGTTAGCGCTATTAGCAGAAACTGGTAAACAAGCCAGTTTTGTAACTGACCCTTCTAAAAATTCAGCAGAAGGGTCTCAGGTTGTCTTATCGCTAAAGCAGGTTGGGTGGCTGTTTGTTGCTTTCCTTTGGATATAGCAACAAGAGTGTTGTCTTTTTTGAACCTTTGTTGGGTAATAAAAAGATGTCTAAATTCTGTTGTGTTGCTTATTTCTTGCCCTTTTTATAGTAAGGACTCTGAACAGTTGATAATGTAAATCACATTTGATGTTTCTAACCAAACTTTACCAGTTTTCTTTT